GCTCGGCTGCCGTGACCGGCAGTGTATAATAATAATATATAAGAATTCAGTTCGTACCTCACAGGAAACAGATCCGAACCCACGATCCCGGTTTCCAAGCGAGCGAAGACAGTACATGCCTTAGACCGCTCGGCTACCGTGACCGGCAGTGTATAAGAATAATATATAAGAATTCAGTTCGTACCTCACAGGAAACAGATCCGAACCCACGATCCCGGTTTCCAAGCGAGCGAAGACAGTACATGCCTTAGACCGCTCGGCTACCGTGACCGGCAGTGTATAAGAAGAATATATAAGAATTCAGTTCGTACCTCACAGGAAACAGATCCGAACCCACGGTCCCGGCTTCCGAGCGAGCGAAGACAGTACATGCCTTAGACCACTCGGCTACCGTGACCGGCTAATAATTTCTTTATTGTCAATATATTCTTAATGCGATTAATGATCTCGAAGTGGTACCAGTTTCCCAATGTCTGGTCTATGCATTCACTTCGATCGTAAAAAACGAACTTCATGTATGGAGGGGCCCCACTTCATCCCATTTCGGGAATTACTGGTCTAGACAATGGCACCCAAAGAAGTATCTACAAGAAAATATAAGGCTTCATATCTCAAAATGCAGCAAACTTCATAGCAAGAGCCGTGAGAACCTCAGGTGTCACAAAACAAACTCCCATTCCTTTACACTCAGGATTCCCACTTCATTTGAACAGACATTTGCTAAGTCGCGCGTGGCCCTTATATAATAGACCGGTGAAAGCTTATCCAGTTATTTGGTAACTTTAATACCAACGTGGAGAAGAAGCAGTGAGCCGGCGGCGGCCATATTGTGTCCATCGAGAAACGAAGCTGCCGACCTCTTGCGGTTACCCCTGACCCACTTGTAGCCAATCACGTCATTTCATTAGAAAGGGGGACTCGCATCGCTTCTGTTCCTGTCGGTACCGCGATACCGTTAATTGGTACCCAGCTTACATCAAACCCAGTTTCACATTCCTCGAGCCAAATGGGTGCATACAACTGCCAACAACTCTTTCTGCGCTGCCAATGCGCGTGCACAGTACACACCTTTAAGGACATGTGTTCTTATGCATAATTTTTGGCTCAAAACATTATTTCACCCATAAATAACTTCATGAAGCTGAGTCTTTCTTCAGAAGCCGCCAGTTGCTCAGATATTAAAAAAAAATCCTAGCATTTTAACAAATCCGAAAGTTCATTATTGTGATTATAAGACCCCTTCACTGGTCCATATCCTGAGCCAGATCAATCCAATCCATTCCACCCCATCCTATCTAAGATCCATTTTAATACTATCCTCCCACCTACGTTAAGCTGACCTAGTAATATCTTTCCTTCTGGCTATCCCACCAGAATCCTATATGCATTCTTCTTCTCCCCATGCGTGCTACGTGCCCAGTTTATCTCAACCTCATTGACTTGACCATTCTAACTATACTTGGAGAAGAGTACAAGTTATGAAGCTCGTCATTGTGCAGTTTTCTCCAACCTCCTGTCACTTCATCTCTCTTCAGTCCAAATATTCTCCTCAACACTCTGTTCTCAAACACCCTCAGTTCCTCCCTTAATGTCAGAGACGAAGTTTCACACTATACAAGACCACAGGCTAAATTATAGTTTTATATTCTAGTATAAGAGATTATTAACGCCGTCTAGTGTGATTGGTAAATGTGTGTTTTTTAATCTTTCATCCTTTACATGTTTCGGTCGGAGTGACCATCTTCAGAAGGACATTAGCAATACATTCGAAAACTGCAATGTCATTGGTCATTATCAATACACACGGATACGTATTATTACAATGTCATAAATATAAAGCATTATTCTTTAATATCGTAGTAATTGTTGAAAGATAATATTATATATTTATGATATTGTAATAATACGTATCCGTGTGTATTGATAATGAGCAATGACATTGTAATAGTAGTTTCTGCATTTATTGACATGTCCTTCTGAAGATGGTCGCTCTCACCGGTAACAATTCGAGAGGGAGCTGTGGAGAAAAGAAATACTGAACTTAGCAGTTATGGTACGAGTACAGGGGATTCGCCCGCTGTCTTGACTCCCGTAACTGCGAGTCATGTCAGAGAGACATGACACGGGCACCTGCCGTGAGACCGCCAAATACAACCCATGACATATTTTCTTATTACGTGGGTCAACATTTGCTTGTCAGCAACATCAATTGTGTTTGCTTGGCCTGCTTACATGTAACCGTATACGCAAGACAGCGCCACAGGATGGCACCAATGGAAGTTACACTTGGTTAACGCCTCCATAAGTTTCTCTGTCACACACAAACATATATATTCACGTATAAATTTTTCCGTATCCTGTTTTCCTAATAACCTAGAGGCTGAACAGACGGGCGTGGTATTTTATGTGTGTTTTACTCTATGACAATGTTCATAAGACAAATGTGTCCTCCTATATTGGCCATGTTCAATTCAGAAAACTGCTAAATGTCTCTAAATTAAAACAGAACTAAAATCAAGGAATAAAACTCTCCAACACTGTTTCTCTGTCAGATAGACTTGAAAGGATTCTGACGATGGGGTATACTGGACTTCTTTTGGATTATTTTGGACTTCACCCATCGTCTGGTATATAAAAGACAAAAAAAAAAAACATGACGTTTCGGAGACTGGATGTGTCTCCGTCTTCAGGTGGATAGGGAAGGATAAACCTACTC